GTGCCCGGCTGCGACCGGGGCCGGCGCTCCAGGACCGGCCGGAAGCGCGTGCTTGGCGTTTCGCCGGCTCGCCCGCGCGGGTGGGTCCGGGCTGGACGGGGAGCGAGCTGCAGTCCCGTGCGAGGCGGGAGCTGTCAGCAGCGCTGGCCCCGCTCTCGCCCGGGCACCGTGGAGCTGCTCCCACTGCCTGCGCTGGCCCTGCTGCACCGAGCTGGACCGCCTGCCGCTCACGTCGCTGTGAGCGCCGGGCCGCTGGTGTGCGCTGGCCCCCCCCCCCGCCCCGCCCTGCTTGGCGCTGCTGGCCCGGGTGCCAAGTGGCCGCCTGCTCCTGTGGGTTGGCGGGAGGCGCTGCCTGGCTGCGACTCGAGGCTCACGTTGGACGCGCGGCAGCGTCTCAATCCCCGCGAGAGGCGGGTGACAGCTTCGTCCCTAGACCGACCCGGCTCTGTTTCTGTCACCGTTTCTCGCAGCTCTTCGGGTGCTCTTTGTACCTGGCCCATGGCACTTCCAGCTGTTTTAGAAAGAGCAGATGTGCAGTCAGGATGGGCAGCTGCACGTAGTCAGATACAAGCTCGGATGGGCAGTCCCCAAACTTATTTAGCATTTGCCCTCGCTATCGTGGAGAGCAGTTGAGATGGGGCGGAGGGGGACGCTGCGGGCACTGGGCGTCTGGGACAAAGCGATCGCTAGAAGCTGCTCAGTGGTCATCCCTCGCAGCAGCGGGCGTCGCAAGGGGGCAGAGCATGGAGCTTGTCTCGGTGCTAGCGGTATTGTGATGGCTTTGTAGCGAGGGGGCCTGGAGACGTTGCCATAACCGATGACATTTAACGATATGTCTGCTGCGCTTTGCATGGCGCAGTCTGAGCTAACTGCCACGTGCCTCCTGCCCCATGAATCGGAGCATCTTTCCCACTGTGCAGATGAAGGAGCTGAAGTAGAGGAGTGAAGCAACTTCTCCACTCACTGCGAGGCCTTGGACGCCTGGGGGTCCCTGTCTTGCTGTCTGTGCTTGTGCCTCAGGGTTTCGCTGGTTGACTTTCAACCAGGGCCCTGGAGGTATTTTACTTAGTGGGTGAATATTCAATAAATGCTGTATGTTTAAAGCTGTACAAAGTTTGCGTGTATGCATGTTGTTTCATCTTACACTGTTTTATAGAGGTAAGTGGGCAGATAAGGTGGGCTCCTCTCCTGAGGTGCTGTGGGTGGCATATGCTCCCAGGCGAGGAATGATTTCTGTCGCCTGCCCTGTTTGCTCCCAGGTGATTGTGGGGCTCAGATGTTTGACTTCTCTTGATAGGGCCAGTTGAAATGTGTGCACTCCCAGCGTGGTCAACTGATCACCCTCTTTTGTGCTGCTCACAGTCCCTAAAAATTAGTTTATAGTGAGGTTAACAAGTAGGTATTTTTCATCTCTCAGGTGCTGCTTTGTTTTCCCCGTCCCCAGATCCATGACTGATGCAGGAGTGCGGTGCTGTAGAATTGGCCCACTGGCTTTGAGCACAGGGACGTCCTGGGATGAATCATGATGCCGGTTTTTTTGCATGTTTTCTCTAGTGCAGATGCTGAGAAATGGCCAATGAGAATCACGGCAGCCCCAGGGAGGAAGCATCTCTGATGAGTCACTCACCTGGCACTTCCAACCAGAACCAGCCCAGCTCCCCCAAGCCCATCCGACTGGTGCAGGACCTGCCCGGTACTTGTCCTGATTCTTAGGGGCTCAGAGATGGGATCACGAGGTGCAGGGGTAGCAGCAGCAGGAAGAGGAGTCTTCAGATGAGCTTCTTGAAGCAGTTGAGGGAATCTTGGGGACAAGCATTTGCTGTGTGCTGTGACAGCAATGGGGTCTGGAGGGCAGGGCTGCTCTCCGAGACTGGGCTTGCCTTGACTCCTTTGCTTGTCTTACAGATGAGCTGGTGCAGGCTGGCTGGGAGAAGTGCTGGAGTAAACGGGAGAATCGCCCTTATTATTTCAACCGCTTCACTAACCAGTCGCTGTGGGAAATGCCTGTCCTGGGACAGCACGATGTCATAGTGAGTAACTGCTCCTCACAGGGGCTGTGCTGCAGTCTTGTAGCATGTGGAGAGAGGACAGGAGGCCTTTTCCTGAGGGTCTGAAGATAATCCTGCCTGGCGCTGTTTGGGTACCACAGTGGAATGCTTGTCTTGCCACAAGAGACTTGTCTGGCTGTGGTAAGACATTCCTCACTTGTGTTGTCCCAGATGATGAAATTATTCACACGCAGTGCAGAGAGGAAGCTCATTCTGCAGAAGTCCCGTCTGACATTTGTTTCACACCCAAGTCATTCAAAAATTGGCCAGATGCAGTCTGAAAATGTAAGACTTGACCTCTGCATGTGTCACCATAAAGCGACCCAGCGTCTCTTCACTTGGGGAGTGGGAAAGATGAGAGTTTGTAGTCTCTAGTGGGATTTTGGGGCAGTGGAAATTTGAGATGATGAGTCTTAGTGCAGGTTTTTTTCCTATATTTTCCTAGTCGGACCCTCTGGGTTTGAACGCAGCTCCCGTGCCTCTAGAAGGAGCAGGAGTGGTGGAGAGCACTGCGGAGAGCAAGCAGAGGAAGAGGAGATTCTCTGAGGAAGTTCAGCCTAGTGGTAACAGCGTGAAAAAGGCTAAGGTGGGTCATGGTTTTTGTAAAGGTGTGTGAGAGGTGGGGAGTGGCGATATAATTGTACCAGGCCCCTCAGCTCGGCGGGGGGCAGAATATAAGACTTTTAATGTCTATTAAGGGAATGTTTTAATGAGTAGAACAGTAATTGCAAGTAGTATGTGTAAGCAAAGTAGAAGTGTGATCTCAAGAAAAATATTTCAGACTTCCCATTTCAGCCTAGAATTGCTCTATTTCTTGTTTCCAGCATTCATAGTAAGGGACCTTAGTCCAGTGCATGCCAGGATGTACCAGGTCCCCACATTTCTCTCTGAGGCCATGTTTGTAAGGTACCTTTTAAGAATGTCCAGTTCAGAATTTAAACTCTAGAGTTTATGTTCGATATAGCAGAAGTTTAGAAGGAAGAGAGGCTTCTGAAGGATTGGCCAGCCATGAAAAAGGAGTTTCTCATTGAGGTTCCTATAGGAACCCCTTTGAGTGCTGAGGGAAGATGCGAGCTACTGAGGAAAAAGTGACTATATTGGGCTACTGCTGAAATAAGAACAGCAGATGTCTTGACTAAATGAGACCACAGGTGATGCCTAAGTACCAGGCAACAAGTGGGCAATGCCCGGTGTCTCAAAGACTGCTGGCTTGAAAGTGAGCCCTCTTGCCAACCCGCCTGAAATGAGGCCCTGTGCCAAATGAGAAGGCTAATCAGAAAGTCCTCATAGGCATGAAGAGCTGAGTATGTATCCCATTCCATGCTAAACTTGAAGGGGGGAGGCTGCATCCTCAGGGTGATGCTTGTTTGTGAGAGGAGGTGAGTGCTGGGAAGCACTAGCCAAGGCAGGAGTGAAACACTTTCCTGCTGTTGACCAACGACTGTGGTGACCGAATACGAGCACTGCCATAGCAAGCACAAACAGGTGGCAAAGAGAAAGTCCTCCAATCTTTGCAGCTGTTGCTTTGGTGGGATATTGGGGCTTTGGGCCATCAGGGAAAACATCTCAGGAAGGTGTCCTGGAGGACTTTCTGGCCAAGAATCTATGAGGTCTGAGGAGATCCTCCATAAACTGGTCTGGTGTGCAACAGGAGATGTTCAGGCTTCCTTAGCTGAGACTCATAGAGTAAGCACATGTCTTGTGGCTGGCTCTGTGCAAAGACACTGTATGGTGAGTTTCTTCCATGCACAAGACCTGTATTAGAAATGGAGAGCAGGAGGGCCGGGATCTTGGACCCGAAGTCGGTTGAAGGTCAGAGGAGAGCTGTCTTGATATAGTGTGCTCAGACTAGGATGTCTAGCACCTAAGGAACAGGAAAAGGAAAGCAAACTTAAGCCTATATCAAGGGGCTGTTTTGCTTGAGTCGGTAGGGGAATGAGAGTGCCTGGCTAGTGGACTGTGACTGAGCCACGGTGCAGTGTAGAGACCTGTACTTGCTTGTGCTACCACTTGTTTCTAGCAGTCCACCTGCCCGTTCTGAACTGTGCGCTGAAAAGGGAGCGATTCAGAGGTAATGGGTCTGGTGCCCTTGCGCCTGCCTTTTGGTGTAATGTTTGGCATCTCTTCCTCTCAGGTTGATGTTCCAGGGACCCCTTCTACGCAGCCAGTCCCCAGCTCTCCCAGCATTCCGGGCACCTCTGTTGTAAAGTTATGGTGCGTTTCCCCTGAAGATAAACAACAGGCAGCTCTTCTACGACCAACTGAGTGAGTTGTCTCCACTTTTCCTTTGCCATCTCCTTGTACTAGGGCTAGAGTGTTGCTGTAGCTGCGAAGGCCCAGAAAATGTCTGAGAAGCAGGAATTCTTTTGTGATACCTTTTCTTGGACCTACTATACAGTTTGGAGAACCATTGGACAAACTTTCATGCCATTTCTCATGCCTTACCTTTGATGTT